GGGGGGGGGGGGGCTGACGACAGCGGCAGACCGGAGGCCTTTTCACGTTGAGAGGCCCTGCTCGCGGATCGTGAGCGGTGCATTAGGCCTGGTGCTGTGGATGATGACGATGACCTGGATGGTGGTTGGTTGTTTCACGCGGGCCTGGGGCCTGCCTGATCGGCGGGGTCCACCCCACCGGCGGGCTCTTTCTCACCGGCGGTGGGGGACCGCCGCCGATTGTGTGATGGAGGCTCGAAAATACCTGGCCCGCCCTGTCCGACGGGGGCGAGGGCGTGCCAAAAAAAAAAAAAGGAAAGGCACGACCTCCGGCGACAGCAGGGCCGAAGGTGTGAAGATGGACATGAGGAATATAAATGGCCGATTAGTTGGTAGATAGAAGACTGCTGGCAGAAGGGCCGAGAGACACCCGGGGTGGTTCTCGGTGGGGGCGCTGCCGGGGCCGGCCGCGTCAGCCGACCGGCGGCCGATTCGTGCCGCCCCAGTCCCCCCCCCCCCGGTGTCTCGTAGGTGACTTGCTTGTTTGCCCGCGGCCATGGGCGGGATACCCGCCTCGGCTCGCGGGCGTGGTGTGTCCACAGCACCGGGGTGCCCGCGAGCACATATGAGAGCTGGGGGGCAGGGTGCACGCGGTTCCGGGGGCGGAATCCTTGGGGCCGCCCCGTGGGGCGGCCGGGCGGGCGGGCAAGGGGCGACGCCCGCGCGGCCACCGTCGGGCATTCGATCACCCATCGGCCACGGCTCCGGCCAGGAGGGGCCGGCCCCCTCTCACGCACCGCCCACCCGCGAGGGGACATCACTGGCGCTTTGCCTCTCTGCCCGACAACCGGGGGCCGGGGAGGGGGGGGAGGGGGGGGGGAACATCCACGGGCGGCTGGGGTCCCTGCCAGGGGTCCCACGCCGGAGGGGCCTGCACCCGGGCCCTCGGTTGAGACCGGCATGGGGAGTTGCGGCCTCGGCCACGTCCGGGCCAGGAGCGGGGGGAGGTGGGCCTGGTCTTGGGGCCCAACCGGCGGCAGCTGGAGCGACCCTGCCAGGCCCGGGACCCTGCCACGCCCATGGGGCGCCCCGCGCGGCCACGCTCACGCCTCCGCCCCCCTCCTCGAGCGCCGCCGGTCCGCCCCCGGGGGAAAGAAACGCACGCGTTGGGCCGGCCCTCCCCCGGTCCCGGGACACGAGCCTGGGCGGCCCCGGATGCTCGGTGCCTTCTCTCCCATGCGCGTGTGTGGGTGCGTGCGCGCGCGCCTGCGCTTGGGATTCGCTGGGCGCGTCCCGGCCCTCCCCGGGGCCTGCTTGGGGACCCATTGTGGCGGGATTTTCTTTTGGGGTGCCCCCCGAGGGCAAGGGCGGAGAGGCCTGGATGTTTCTGCCCAGTCCCCGGAGAGCGGCGGGTCCCTTACTTTGCTGGTGCCCCCCCCCCCTCCCCCCCCCGCTGGAGCGCTGGGGCCCGGGGACCCGGGCGTCGACCCAGGCATGCCCGGACCGCGGGCGAGGCGCCTGATGGGAGATGTGCGGGCATGCGGTCGCCCGCCGTCGCTTTGGTGTGCGCTGCCCCGCGAATGGGCCGGACCACCCCACGCCAGGCCACCAACCGGGGGGGGGGGGGGAGCCATAGCAGCACGCCCGTGCACACATGTCCCCCGGATCTGTGGGGGGCCTGTGCCTGGCCATGGGGCCTGCGGCTGTCTCTTTTGGGCTTTCCCCTGCGCTCGCCCTTTTCTCGAGGCCCCGAGCCTCGCGCCCGGCCCCTGGCTCGCCTTCGCGGCCCTCGGGTTTGCACCGAGTGTGTGGGGCAGGCAGGGGATCGGGAGGCCCAGCCGTTACACGCCTGACCCGGCCGGATATCGCCTGCTGGCTTAGGGGCTTCTGGGCCCGGGGGATGCTCGGCGCCGACAGACCCAGGCATTGGGGGGGGGGACGCCCCCGACACGATCGGGGTGTCCTGAGAGCCCGCTGCACACTGCTGATCGGCAGGGGGCGGCGGGAGGGTGACTTGGGGGGCGGGAATCATCTCCGCGGCGGCCGTGCGCCTTCCCGGAGGGGAGGGGGTATCTTTGCCTCGGTGCCCGGGCCTCGCGGAAGCTGCCACCCGCCCGCAACAGGGGCTCGTTCATTGTTTTTTCCGCCGCCGCCCCCCGCCCCGAGTGACCCCCGACCCGGCGGCGCCCCACGCCTCGCTCGGCTGAGGTAGCTCGGTCG